GACAGCGGGAAACCTTTCATGTATGGAAAACCCTAAAATCCTCCAAACTGCCTCCGAACTACTCAAATAACGCCTACTCTCATATAATTTGACTTAGTCCTTTTTGTTTTCTAGCACGAAAGCCGCTTGATCACTGCCCTTATTAATGTACTTACAAATGTACTTTATCGATTTAGCAGAAATGCAAAATTCTGTTATTTATGTTTATAATTAATATGTGCCTTAAATGTCAGTTACAGAACCTTATTATAGTTGACCACCTATAGTTATATTTACCATATATTTAGTATGAACTATGGATTTACAATACTTTAAGTTGATACTAGAAGAATTGAAAGTAGAAGATAGTAATTCTTTTAGTATAATGTACCTATCTCCGAATGGATGAGCGCGTTTTTTTACAAGATAAGGGTGACACACACAGTTCACCTGATGGTAAGTGGATGCTGTGGCCAATTGACCTCATCTTGAATCTATCCTGGATTACTAATCACAATGTTAATGCGTTGTCAACTGTGAGGACTAAGATGGAATGCTTCGTTTCCAGTAAAAAAGGGTCTCCGATTCTCTACGCTGACCATACGAAACACAGCAGCGTTAAGCTGCTATTTTACGCTGGTATTCTGAGAGCGTGGTCCTTCCCCGGGTCGAGCCGACCCATTCGTGCTAATAAATAAATAACTATACCAGTAATATGCATGCATAATGCAATATGCAGCATGGTTCTACCACGTGAGAAAATAGATTTATTTATATTACATTTATAGCGTATTATTTTACAAAGTTAACTCTTAAGGTACAATTCCGTAGCCGACTGCAGGCAGCAGCAGCAGGCGACGTGTCACCGCGACATGTCGTGGCATCATGTCGCTGCAGTCATTATTCGATTGTAATGAGCCCTTTTTGTGCCGCATGATCATCGAAACTTGTTTCGGCTTTGGCTCATAATGTTGACCTAAAGTTTCATCTTCATAAAACAATTAATTTTTAACATTTGTCGCAGGTTTAGTTGTCTCTACTCCAAATCGAGTGTCCGCCTTGAAATCATAGTTTTTTCCCAAGGGAAAGAGTCGCCGTGGAATGAAGACATCTTTAATAAGTGTAACTGTAACTGTTGGCTCAATGAGATAGTTATATCTATACCTATACCAACATGCGATGTACTTAAAATAAATAATTTAAACAATGTTTTTGATGTAAAGGAATTTAGTTCCAGGTACTCGCTTCACCGGCGGGCAAGTAGGATTTAGCCTGCGGGAGAGAGCATGGCCCATATTCCTGCCCGCCCGGCACTAGATGAGATGGTGCGAGACGGAATCATCACGCCGGTCTCCACGTCGGACGGTGGGATAAAATTTAAGTGAGACCACCTGGGAAGTTCTTTGAAACAAAAAAATATTTCCAAATCGGTTCATGCATCTTCGAGTAATCGGTGTACATACATAAAAAAAAAGATTCCGACGAATTGTAAGCCTCTCTTCCTTTTTGAAGTCGGTTGATAAAAGATGTCACATATGAATGGAATGCAGGATGTAAACAAGTGTTGAAGCATCTATTGGTATCTAGCAAAGTGCTAGCTCACTGTGCCGCTGAGTTGCCTCTGGTACTAACGACTGACGCGAGTAATAGCGCTGTCATCTCACATACAAAGAGCATACTCACAAATTGAACGAGAAGCTTTTGCTATAATTTATGGTGTGCCTAAATTTCACCAATATCTATACGGCCGAAATTTTATATTAAGTACGGATCAGAAACCGTTAGTCACTGTTTTTGGCGATAAAACATGCATAACCCGTCATGGCAATAGGTACTATACTATACTAGTACTATGCAACGCAGGGCAATAATTTTAGCCGGCTATGACTATACAATAGAGTATGTCGTATGTAACGAGTATGTAACGCCACAGATTCCTTGTCTCGGCTACCAGTAGATAAAGAAAAACGATTTGAAAGAGGAATACACAGAGGAAGCTGGTTCGGAAAGCATACCAGTCTGTACCTGCACTCATTGTAGGGAACCTGGTGCAGACATTCATCGACGGCATCCGCAACCTTGAAGTCAGAGCTGCTGTGAGGCTCGGGCACCACGAGACGCTTAAGGACGCGTTGGCCCATGCACTGGAGGTAGAAGCCGTGCGACAGGATCATCGTTCTTATCGCGTCAGGGAGGTTGTAGCAGCTACAGTTCGTGACCGCAGTAAAGGATACAGGCCTAGGTGCTACGGCTGTAGGGAGATGGGCCATCTTCGATTCAGCTGCCCTAAGCGAACTGTAGAAAGGGAAGGTGATCGATCTCGAGAGGGTAGTACGGCTAACAGCACCGCCCAGCGCAGCGGAAAATCTCATGACAACGCAGATGCATTGTCAAGAAGACCGTGTCCTGAAGATTGCAAGCATTGTACTAGGCAAGAGGGTAAGGAAGTGTTATCTGTGAGGATACTCAGGACAGACCAGCTCAGCAATGAGTGAAAAGACAGCTTACAACATGCACAGCAGGAAGATTCGGACATTAAGCCGATTCTGGAATGGATGAAGGCCAGTGCTCCTAAGCCCAAGTGGAGCGACGTCTCAGCAATGAGTTCGACCACGAAAAGCTATTGGGCCCAATGGGACAGCTGGCTGATTCAGGATCGAGTCCTGTGCCGTAAATGGGAAAATGGTCGGGGAGACAATTGTCATTTGCAAATGGTTGTCCCTAAGGCTAAAGTACCGGATGTTCTACAGATGTACCATAGTGGTTGTTGAGGAGGTCACCTGGGAGTTAAACGAACTCTAATGAAGATCCGAGAACGGTTTTACTGGGTCCACTGTCGTGACGATGTCGAGGACTGGTGCCGCAAATGTACAAGTTGTGCGGCTATAAAGGGACCTCAAACTCGTAGTAGAGGCGCATTGAAATTGTACAATGTTGGTGCAGCATGGGAGAGGATAGCCATTGACGTAGCGGGGCCGTTTCCGGAAAGTGAAAGTGGTAACAAGTATTTCATGGTTGTGATGGATTACTTCACTAAGTGGCCAGAAGTCTTCGCCATTCCAAATCAAGAAGCTTCAACAGTTGCAGATAAACTAGTTCATGAAATCTTCTGTCGTTTTGGAGTACCTTTAGAGATTCACAGCGATCAAGGAAGGAATTTTGAGTCTCAAATATTCCAGGAAACTTGCCGAGTTATGGGTACTCATAAAACAAGAACAACTTCTTACCACCCACAATCTGACGGAATGGTAGAACGATTTAATCAGACATTGGAGAGGTACCTAGCAAAAGTTGTGGAAAAACGGCAACAAGACTGGGACAGGCACATACAACCGTTTTTGCTGTCATATCGAAGCGCTGTTCACGAAAGTACATTAGTGACACCAGCTTACGCAAACTTTGTGAGAGAATTACGGCTGCCTGCAGATCTGATCACCGGAATACCACCTGATGCCCCACGCAGTATAACGGATTATGTAAATGACTTGCGGAACAAAATGAATGACATTTATGAGCACGTCAGACAGACGGGCCAGCAAACGTCTGAGAAGATGAAAACACGGTATGACCGCAAAATGAACAACAAGGTGTTTGACGAAAGTTCACTAGTGTGGTTACACAATCCAGTTCGCAGCAAAGGGAAATCTCCTAAGCTTCAAGCTAAATGGGACGGACCGTACCGGATTGTGACAAGGATCAATGACGTAACCTACCGGATACAGAAAGGTGCCAGAGGTACTCCTAAGATCGTCCATGTGGATCGACTGGCACTTTATTATGGGGCCAATAATGCTCGAGACGAGCATGTCTTAGGAGGGGGCAGTGTAGCGCGCCACTATTAATGTCTTGTACATGGCAACACTAGTTACAGTATCGCCCTCTAATGTCGAGTAGCAGAACTAGGAGAGTCAAGATCCTTCTAGAAATTTCGGGACGGATATTTACTCGAATATTCTAGATTTCGCTACAGTAGAAGGTTCTGGAAACTATCTAAGGCCCTATATAAGGCCGGTATAGACCACGACCAAGTCAGTATTGAATTGGCGATACAAGAGAATACTTCGAAGCGAAACAACTGCGAACTGCTATCAGTAGTACAATTGTGTTTTATTATTAGTGTGGTTTTAGATTGTAATTAGTGGTGTAAAGTGTCAATTTTGGTAATTCAACCGGCAGTTTTAATTGTCTTGAACCCCAAGGTCGTAACAGTATTATAAATTAATTAAGTGTATTATAAATTAAGAAGCTTGCTTTAGTGATGTCATCATATTTGTTAGGGAGATTGCAGTAAGGCGAAATTTTGGGTGACGTACCTATTTCATGAATAGCCCTATATTGCGTATTTGAAAATTATGTCGAAATACAAGATATTTGAGAACATTCAAACAACACACTTTATACGTGGCAGTCATAGTGAACTATATTATGGTTGTAGTACGAATGGGTAGATTTGACCGGAGAAGGACCACGCGCTCACAGAATATCTGCGTACAATAGCAGCTTAATGCTGCTGTTTAAATGGTGAGTATAGAGAACTGGAGACCCTTTTTTAAAACAAAGAGTAGGATTAAATAACAAGACAATGATCAATTATATTTGAATATAATACAAACTCCTATTGATAAACAATATTTTCATTATTTTTATTTAAATTAAAAAATGGTCACATTTAAAATATTTGCACTCGTGTATAAATTGTAACATCTAAACGATTTGTCATTTGCTCTACACAAGAAAAGCCTTTGTGGGATCAGCACGACGTTCACAATCTGAAAATATTATACCACAGTTAATGTAACTTTTCACTTGGATTTTTACAGCAAAATTAGGATACCTATATTCACATATACGTGTTATTGTTCGCTGAAATTTGATTACAATGCGTTAAGTATAATTCTGATGAATGAAAAATATTAAGAATCTCATTAATAAGGTGACCAAAAATTATTCAGAGATAGTTTTAAGGATGTCTTAGAGATTGATTTTTTAATTTGTAACTAAATTAAATTATATAAATTCCGTTAGACGTCGTTGATCGTGAAGCCAGGTTTAACGTTACACTTTTTGGCCTTCGTTACTATCGGTGAATTGTGCGCGACGCGAATGGCATCATTCAAGTTGTTATTCGACTTACTCTCGCTTGATGTGCTCGCTCGGAGCTGATCCTCGTCGACTAACGTCGTCGTGAACCTACTGGCTGGAACGAGCGCGTGTGAATTGCGATTATTTTTCTGTGCGCTGCTATCGCTATATCTTCTACTTCCATTGTTCAAAATGTCGTTTCTTTTTACTATATTCATATCTTTTTCTTTATTTTGCAAATTCATCGTTTCTAGATTGCTCCATTGGAGCGAACTTTCTCCTATAAAACACTTATTTTTCACACCAGTTTCATTGTTATAATTTTTACTGCTGGAAGGCATATCTTTGTATAGGTTTTCTTTAGTTTGTTGTAAACTTAGTCCATATAGTTCTGTGGAGGTATTACTTGTCAAAGGTTGGCAGCTGTCTAGCTTCAAGGCTGGACTATGTGGCGTTAGATCATTTTTAATTATTCTCATTGGAGAAGAACATGCGTCTATGGATAATGTATATTCGTCGTCTTCACCTTCTGCGCTCTGTACAGCAAAAAAATGTGTTAAAATAAAATTATTAAATATGAATTATTTTAACGCAAGAAATACACAACTATTTGTTTACAACACAGAATCCCTTTTGAATTTATCAATAGAATAAGTGCAACTACTCGCTATTAAGGTTTCTACCCACTACAAAGATCCATATCATGTCATAATATCATCTATACTATATCAACACATGCAAAAAATATTCCTTGTAAAAAAAGTGCAACAACCCACACTAGATCATTCCGTCAACGACCAACGCAGTAGCGTGCAACGACCATACTATGTTAGCTAATCATTCAGTGTTTCGTAAAATCAAATAATTTACAAAGTAAATCAAAACTTTTAATTCCACGCAATCGAAACAATCTTATTATTAAGGTAGGTAAACACTAGATTACAGTGAAAATTTTAACTTGTCTACAATAGTTTCGATTTCGGTTTCGGCCGAAACTAGAAGAGGATTCTTTTTCGGTTTGGATTTAAAACCATACTTCAGTCGGAGTATAGAATATAGTGTTACACCAGACAACACCTAGACCGGCGGTGTAAAACAGCTTCAAAGGTGTGAAAACTTCAGGTACTGCGATCGTTAATCCTTCTGCCAAGTGTGACGATACAAAAATCCTACTAATCGCGGGAGAAGCCAAGTCCAGCAGTGGACTGATATTGCGTAGTGTAGCAGTACTAAGCAGATAATAAAGATCCCTATTTCGATTCCTCTTTTCAAAAATAATAATATTAAATTGAACATTTTAAATTCCCACGAAAAAGAGCTGATGATCTTCAAACGGTTGAATAATTTTTTTGAATCATATCTAAGAACACACTTGATCAAGTCACCTTTCAAACAAAAAAAAAAACTAAATCTAAATCGGTTCATCCGTTTGGGAGGTATGATGCCACAGCCAGCCACACAGATACACAGACACACGAATACACAGGTTAAACATATAAACCCTCTTTTAAAAAGTTCGCGAATAAAAAGTTTGCTGGTCACTTTGATAACTTTGAAAATTAAATTGGAAAAAAATGTGTGCAGTTCACACGCGGTAAGTGTATCTTCAGAAAACTAAACTTCGAGAGTATGAGACCAGAATCACAAGTAGGATAATTGTAGGGCTTATGTAATTCAAATATAAATAAATTTATAATAAATACTATGTACTGTATTAAGTGATATATATGTTTGTCTCTCTTTAGTGCAGCTTTTTCGTTTTACCTAGTTTCAAATCACAACGATTCTAAAGTTTTCATTTGTACACTGTAAAACATGTCAGAGTACAATGTCCTTATTAACGATATACAATTCTACACCTATAATTTTATTAATTATATATTTTTGCTCCGAAATTTTTTCAAACACGACGTCTTTGAAGAAGTTTTGTCAACTTATTTTTAACATAGCACCCGAAACGTCGCGAATTAGGTATATTAAATTGAAATGAAGCGCAATAAAATTCGTAAAATTAGTGTTCTAAACGTGGAATATATATGGTAGTAAAATTATTTTGTCCGTGTAGTTGGGGTCATAAATCATAGCACGGCATCAGCCCGGCTAGGGCGGTGAGCATGTTGCGCGGGCGCAACGCTATTATCGATAACAACAAATAAATCAAGAAGGCAGGTACGCGGCGGCGGTGCCGTATACAAAGGCTGGTGCGACATTGTTATATTATGAGTCATTTGTTTTCCATTATTACCTTCGTCTAATACCTACAAATTAGTACAATGATAATTTAGTACATATATCGAAGAGAAATTTGTTTTTGTGCCTTTTCCTTTGTTTTCTACCAAAACGGCAGAATTTATTCAAAATAATATTTTGCCTGTTGGCACCAATATACCAGTACAAGCACGTGTTGTTATAAACAATGTTTTAACGTTTTTCACTGAAATGAAAATAGATCCCGAAAAGTTACAAAGTGTTAATTTCAGCCGTTCTTGTGAATTTGCTGCGGCGATATGTGGTGTGGAAGAAGTTAGCTCTTCCGATGATTTAAGACCCAAACTGCACGGACAAAATAATTCTAGTATAGATTTTTGTGTTTGATTAATAAACATCGTTTTATAAATTGGTACATGTGTTTTATTGATCTGTTAAAAAAACCTGCCTTATAATTAAGTACAGTAACAGATAGGCGTCAATCTTGCCGTATCACTATTCAACCGCTCTATTTATCATATCTACAGTACACATGCTTACGCTTCGCATAATGGGTAATGATCGATGCGTGCGCTCTATAGCTTGCTTATGTATACTCTAAGGTTGCAATCCTCGTTGATGTTAAACACGTTGGGACGTCACATCGCTATATAAACGCCAGTCTTTTGTAGCTGGAATTCCGAAATGTTCTACCGGTGTTAGTATTACACTTACCAGCAACTCATGATCAGTGCCGGAGCCGGCGGTGGCCTCGTTGCTGTTGAACTCCAGCTCGGACGCTGCCGACACCGGAGTCACGTCGCCGCTAATACAGGAACCTGGATAATCATAGCATTGCTTAATAAGTCTAAAATTTTGAGGTGAGGATTAAATGGTGTTCATTTGTATTAACGATGTTCAGAAAAACATTCCATAAGCCATAAACGTGCTCTTCTAATCACAATCTCTTGTTTTTTTTATGAATTTCGAAGACTGCGTTAAATGATTTCGCATGCATTCCTAAAAACAGTATCATGCAAAACGTTATTTACCATAACGAGATGTAACTGTTATATTATTTACAACATGACAAAGCTTTTCGTTGCCGAGTAAGTGCTTATAAGCGACGATATTGTGCAACGTATGTGTTGTGTACATATTTTATGGAAGTCAATTATTTTACATGAGTTTTCAGCGTCAATTAAGATTTTCGGTTAAATTTATGAGATAACGTTATGTAGTCAGAGGTCAAAATGACCACAGAACAGATAATGTACGCGGTTTAATGCGTCAATTAGTGGTAGTGTTGATGATTTAATAGTTTTTTGAAAATTTACTATTTTCAAATTACTAATAAAAATTACTAATACACTATTAAAAATTGTTCATAAAACATTTTATTTTCGACTATTGTTTTGTTCTACGGTACAGCAAGTCTTGTTGAAGTTGATCACCGTCGATGACGTCCATGGTTATGGTAATGGTGCAGTTGTCGATAAAAGTCGATATTTCAAATAAAACATTGGTATACCGATACAATAATATGGATATTATATTGTTTATACTTTATGTGTTTATGAATATAATTTTAATGTAGTAACCGTCTTGTACAATACATACTAACGCCTTACTACCATATTTGTAAAAATATAATAAACGTGGAAATATGCAAGTTTTATTTTATTTCATTGGCACGCGAATTTAAACTTTAATTGAGTATAAGTATAATATAACATTATAAATGAGAAAACGAATTCTTTAAGAACGGGGCCAAGGCTAAGGAGTGCTTTCGTATATGCACAGTATATTTATTGTTAACACAAATACTAAAGCACTCTAAAAATACCATGTACACCTACATAGTTTCCACCCGAAGATGGCCTGTTGACTATTTTCCTAATTGGCAAAAGAGATCACAAATTTATAACAAATTTTTTAAATATCTGATCATAAAATATTATTTAATAATAGTTATTAGATTAAATTTCGTTTTTTTTTTGGTTTTAGATATTAGATGACATTTTTAAAAAAAAATCTTGGTTATTGTAAATTAAGTAAAAAGAGTGAAGCGTATTATAAATGTGCAAATAAATATCAATTGCACAGAAAAATTGTTTCTATCTACCTATATGTAATTGGTGCAATTTAGTAGGGCCCATTTTCATAGCAGACAGGAATTTGTGATATGCTTACAATCCGGTACATGGTGTGTAAAATGTGGTGTACCTGCTACATTGCTGTGCGGCATGAATGGGAGCAGACTGACGTCGGACGGGCACAACGTCGCCGCCTCACCGTCCCACTGGGGGAGTTTGCTCGGCACATTTTTACTCCAAGTGCTACTGGAATCCATAACAATTTAATACACCCACTACCTTCCTTTTAACCATCACTTCGAACCATTATTTCATACTTCACCGAAAATTCGCTGCTTTTATCTCTTTAGTGTGGTGAAACTCGGTGTTTGTCTCACATAAGGATTGCTACAGTGTGATAATTCACATTTTCTTACAGATTTTGAATTTACAGTTTGAAGTGACGTTAAATGAAAATGTGCAAGACCAATGATAGATTAAGCCATAAAACCACAAAAAACATCTCATTCACTATTTAAGTAGGTACCAGTACTAGAACAGACACCGCAAACGAAATCGGTGCGGCAGTGCGGGCCGCGAGGAAAGTGGCACTGAGTAACATTTTATGACACAGGCTCTAACGCGTGTTGCAAACGACCAAGTCTCGGCATCTCTTCTAGTGCGAAGTACATTACTTAAATGTCATTTACAACAAAATGTAATAAACAAGAAGCTAGTGAAACCACAGCAGTTTAGTGAGACAAAAGCAAAAAAAAAATATCCACTTCAAATATAGATCATTTTCAAAAATAAAACTCAACTTTAAAGTGACATATTAGGTTGGGGAAAAAGTTTCTTCGTATTTTATATACAAATTCAAGACATTTTTGTAAAAGTTCAATTACATTTAATTATAATATATTCGGGCCATTGTGTTCGATAACTTGCTGCCATCTTGTAGGTAATGACATAATCGCGTTGCTTTAGAAATCTTGGGATTTTTTATAAAATAAATGCGACAAGTTATTTTGACAGTCATCTCTCGATGTTAATCTAACACTACCCAAAGAATTCTGAAGAGACCGAAGCACGTGAAAATCAGAGGCTGCAAGGTTAGAACTATATAGTGGATACATTAACTGTTCCCAACCAAGCTCTCTCAATTTTTGCTGAGTGGCCAAAAATGAGTGTGGTCAGGCGTTATCATGATGAAAGACTCACTCCTTTTCTGTTGATCAATTCCGGCCGTTTTTCTCAATTTTTTGTTTGAGTTTCATTAGTTGTTGGCAGTAGAGATCCGAATCGATGGTTTTGTCCGGCGGTAAAAACTCATAATAAACGCTACCCTTACAATCTCACCATACATATACACATTATCACCTTATTGCATGTTAATTTGGGTTTCGCTACAGTCTGTGGAGCTTCACTACCGTTTGACCATGATCTTTTGCGCATGCTCTTGTCGTAGGTGATCCACTTTTCATCACCAGTGATCAATCTTTTCAAAAATGGTTCGGTTTCATAATGTTTCAATAGAGAATTGCAAAGGAGTACACGATTCATTAGGTTTTTTTCATTGAGCTCGTGTGGTACCCAAATATCGAGTTTTTTTGTATAGCCAGACTTTTTCTAATGGGTCATAATTGTTTTGTGGTCAATCGTGAATTCCTCGGCTATGTCGTAACTACTAATATGCCGATCTTGCTTCACTTTTTCAAAAATGGCATCGACTTTATTCGTATGAGGATGACTAGAGCGAGCCGCATCTTTGACATCAAAATTACCGGACAAAATTACTGACACTACATTAGGTCCATAATCGTCACAATTTTTCTTCGCGGCTTGAGTCGCACTCATCCCTTTTCTACAGACTTCAAAAAGGAGACGGTACTCAATTCGACTGTGTGATATTTTTTTCTTTTTTTATGTGTGTTACCTCATAACTTTTTACTGGATGAACCGATTTCGATGATTCTTTTTTCTTTATTTGAAAGCTGGTGCTTATCATGTGGTCCCATATAAATTTGATCAAGGTCTGACCACTAGTTTTTGAGTTATTCTTAATAATTTATATTGAAGTCGGTTGTATAAAAATTTAAATTTTAAATTATTGTAATAAAACTTTAGAATGTATCGAATTTCTTCGTTAGATTCACTTATTTTGGCGGAGGGAAAAACAACTGAAAAATGTCTGGAAAGTGTTTTTTACTTCTTATTTTTCTTTTTTTAATCTCCTATATGTATTAGTATTAAAACCAGCTAGATACAAACAGTACAACCAAAATGATTTTTCTCAAATTTTATACAAACAAAATACGAAGAAACTTTTTCCCCGACTATTATTATTTATACTATTTTTAACATAAGTTATAAATATTGTATAAAAAAATTTGTTTCCAATTGCATTCCTTGACGATAAAAAATAATAAACTATATCAAAACATTCAAAGGAGAACCAACTTATTAATGATGGTTAATAATCGATTGTTGTTTGTTAAGCAAAGTACGGCTAATCGATAAAAATGACAGTGACGAATGATCAATGATAAAATGAACAAATTTAATTACACGAAAAGTTTTTTAGATGGCGGAGTAAATTTAAAACCCTTCATAAATTTACCAAAGATACAATAATAGAAATGTATGATAAATATGGGTTTAGATTGGAAAATTGTAAAAGACGTGATAGGTGGCTAGTCCATAGCCTACACAATCACAAAACTAGTATCCCATTAGTCAGCTTTTATCACATGCTAGGCATGTAAGACAGTTAGCATATTCTTTTTTGTTAAAACACTAAATAAACATGAGACCTATAAGTCCAAGATCAACATAGGACAGCATGTAGATTAGTTATATTTATATAAAATGAAAACAACTATAATTGGGGTCTTATAACAATATTATCAACAACACGCAACGCACAACAACTATATTAAAAGATATTAACAAGAAAGAATTAATTCTCTAAAAAAAGCTTCCATAATACAAAATAACTGTAATAAATATGAAATAACACGTTTCAACTTCAAGGATACATGGGCGGTGTTCATGGGCTGCAGTTACAACAGCCACAAGACCAGCCAGCCATGCATGGCAACTATGGCAAATATCCCTCTTGTGAGGCAATCTATGGGGGAGGCCTATGTTCTGCAGTAGACTCTAGATAGGCTGTAATGGTAATATTTATGTTTTAGTGAATTTATTTTATTTATTTATTTAAAACTTCATATACACATGAGGTATATAGGCGGACTTAATGCCTAAGGCATTCTCTACCAGTCTACCTTGGGATGATGCAGAGATATAATGATGTAGGTGTAATAAAAAGGTAATATGTTAATACTAAACTAAAATAACAAAAAAAAAATTGTCGCACATCGAAATAAAATACATAAGATATAAATGGTAATAAAAAATATAATATATATATACTTATAAAATAAATTATAATAAAAATAATAAGATAATAAAAATGTATATTACTTAAGTACATATTAAAACGTCAGATGTATGTAAACTCATGAAGATATTCAATTATAGACATAATCAAATAAAATATATATATTTATATATAAAATATATATAAACTATTACTATGATGAATCTGCCAATTTATTAGTTAAGTATTCCCGAACCTTCATCTTGAACGCGTAACGATTGCTAGCCGTCCTGATTTCGAGAGGTAGTGCGTTCCAAAGGAGAATAGATTGAATGTGGAAAGAAGAATGAACAAGTCCAGAACTATGGGAGGGACATAGGAGAAGAAGGTTGTTCGTAGAGCGGAGGTTTCTCTCATGACTAGCGCTAAGCAACTGAAAGTATGGAGATAAGTAGGAACAGGAAGTTGGAGACATCAGGATAGAATAAAGGGTAGTGAGTGCACGCAAACTACGGCGTTGACGAATAGGTAACCATTTTAATTGAGATCGATACGTGGATACATGGTCATACTTTCGAAGATTGAAAATGAATCGAATGCAGTTATTCAGAAGACGGTCATATTTATTGAGAAGATCTGCATTCAGGTCGAAATAACACACATCACCATAGTCGATTAGGGGAAAAATTAAGCTTTGCACAAGCATTGCTTTGATTGCAGATGGCAGAAAATATTTTAGGCGATAGAGAGAACGCAGGGTACCGGTAACTTTCTGGCTAACGGTCGTTGCTTGGTCTTTCCAACTCAAAGTAGAATCAATTAATAAACCTAGATCCTTCACAGTAGAACACAGTTGGATCTCAGTACTATTAAAAAAGATAGGAGGTAAAGCTACCGTTTTCAATCTATGAATCATCCGACGGCTACCAATTATTATAGCCTGACACTTCGAAGGGTTGACTATTAGGCCAAACCTGTCAGACCAGTTCTTAATATACTCAAGGTCCCTGTTAATTACGTCCACCGCTGTAGAAATATTGTCAATACTCGCTTGTGTGTACAGTTGCAAGTCATCGGCATACAGATGATACGCAGACTGAAGGTCTTGGGTAATGAGATTAATAAATATAGAAAACAACAAAGGAGATAATATGCCGCCTTGAGGAACACCAGCATGTAAGTCAAGCCAGCTAGATGATAGCTCATCGATGCGAACCGACTGCTGGCGACCTCGAAGATATGATGAAAACCAATCCAGTGCTTCGGGTGAGACCATTGAAAGGGAAAGGATGGAAATTAGAAGGTCATGACTGATGGTATTAAAGGCGTTCGAGAAGTCAACTAAAACCAACACAGTGACTTTAGTATCCTCTATGCCTGCCCTAATATCACCAGTTACTTTCAGGAGTGCGGAAACGGTGCTATGACCGGGCCTAAAGCCAGACTGCAAGGGACTTAGTAAGTTATGACAGGAGATAAACTGCGAAAGTTGCTTGTGGACACAGGCCTCAAGGACCTTGGATAAGAAGGGAAGGATGGATATAGGTCGGAAATGATTGGGTAGAGTGGGATTTGTGATCTTTTGTAATGGAATAACGTAAGCCTTACGCCACAAAGAAGGAAAGTCACCAGAATCCAAGGAGAAGTTAATGATGTGTGAGATAACAGGGAGGATATGGTCAAGTATAAAGATAATCATCCGTCGGCTGATGTTGTCGCAACCTACAGCATTAGATTTAATGGATAGGATTGTCTTCTTGATCTCATCCATAGCTACTGGAGAAAATTGAAAGAGATCAATATCGGGACGAGGTAAACCCATTAAGTGTTCAATAGTAAGACGCTTGGTCTGGTGATCAAGAGGACTGTTGGAGACAAAATGAAA